GCCCAGGCCACCCCACACCCTAAGGGAACCCCCACCCAGATCTGGGACACCCTTCAGGGCAAACCAGCTGGCCCCCTCCCATGTACCAGGCCTCTATCCTATCTAATAAAAGAGTAATACGCAGATTGACCATCACTCCAACACACAAGATGGCTGCTCCCATGTGGTCAAAATCCTGCCCCCAGTGGACACAAGATGGCCACCACAAGATGGCCAGCAGGGGAGGGCAGTTGGGAGGGACCAAGCCAGCAGGGGAGGGCAGTTAGGGGTGACCAGACCAGCAGAGGAGGCAAGTTGGGGGCAAACAGGCTGGCAGGGGAGCAGTTAAACATAAATCAGGCTGGCAGAGGAGTGGTTAGGGGGTGCTCAGGCTGGTAGGCAGAAGCGGTTAGGGGCAACCAGGAAGGCAGGCAGGCGAGCAGTTGGGAGCAAGCAGTCCTGGATTGTGAGAGGGATGTCCAATTGCCCACTGGAATCAGGCCTAGACAGGCAGTCGGACATCCCCTGAGGGGTCCCAGATTGGAGAGGGTGAGGGACACCCCTGCCTCTGTGCACCAGGCTTCTAGTATTTAAATAAATATATATTTAAAAATAAGGTTGAAGCCCCAGAGGTACCTTCACTGGCCACCTTCCTGATTGTTCTCTGCCCTGCCATCCGCTTCCTTCCTGCAGAGCCTCTCCGCAGTCAGCGAGGATGGTCGCTGGTTTTACCTCCGTCCTCCCTAAGGACAAGCCCAGCGCAGTGCCTCCCCGCGGGGGAGTGCTCCTGGGGCAGCGCAGGGCGGGCAGGCCTTTGGGGTGTCGCCTCGGGGCGGTGCCGCTGGCTCGCTCAGGCAGAACCAGGATGCTGCCGCACCCGCGGTCTCCCAGTGCAGACGCAGTTTGACACCCGGACGGCCTCTCCACAGGAGTTACCGGCCCGAGTTCCACAGGCCGAGGCGGGGAACCTGTTCCTGCTCAGGTTCCGTCCTCAGCACCAGCGCCGAGCCCGTCCTTAGGTGTGTGATGAGTGATTATCGGCGGAGGGAAGGAGGCTGTTGTCTGGGCACTGCCTCACCGAGTGCCTTCTTCCTAAAACCACGTGATTTCTTCCTCGCAGAATTTCTAACTCTTAGAGCCTTAGATTTTAGATGACAAGTGAATACTTAACATTTCTCAGATTGGCAATACACTCCCATTTTTAAGAGAGATAATTCAAATAAAATACACGACATATTCACTAATAGATTCAAACCTATCTTCTAGATTCTCTAATAAAAATCCAGCCGAAACCGGTTTGGCTCAGTGGTAGAGCATCGGTCTGCGGACTGAAAGGTCCCAGGTTCGATTCTGGTCAAGGGCATGTACGTTGGTTGCGGGCACATCCCCAGTGGGGGGTGAGCAGGGGGCAGCTGGTCAATGTTTCTCTCTCATCGACATTTCTAGCTCTCTCTCTCCCTTCCTCTCTGTAAAAAAAAAAAAAATCAATAAAATATATATATTTTTTTAAATCCAAAAGGAGGCAAACAGATTAATATTTCAATATCCTGTTATTTAAAAATATCTAGCTATTTAATAATTTTTACTATTTAACCCAGCAAACTCCAACGTTGTAAGTTACCAAAGACTTTTTCTCCTTAGGAAAACAAGCATTAGGTATTTTTCTAATAAAACAATGTGTGTTTTCATAATAAAACACTGGGTGGTTTATAATGGCTGCACACACTGGTCATGGTCGCGAGGCGAAGATGACAGCCGCCCGGGAGGTTCCTGGGACGCAGCATCTGATTCTGTGAATGAAAACAATGGGAGCGGGAGGGCACGCCCGCCTGGGTGAGGCGGGAGTTACCTCCATCGGACAGGACGGACGGACGGACGGACGGACGTCCTCGGAGCCGGGTCCGTGTGTCTCAGCAGGGCCCTGTGGGAGCCTCCCAGAGCCAGACAGAAAGGACTGCCCCCGGGCCGCCGGGGGATGGGATGGGTCGGGGTCCGGGGCCGGGCTGACCGGGTCCCTGTCCGGCAGCATGAAGAGGAGCACGGATCCGGGTCCGAAGACGCAGCTGAGCCCAGAGGGCGTCGGGGGCCTGGGCCGGAGCCCGGACGATGGCCTGCTGGTCACGCACGTGAACCAGACCCGGGACCTCCTGGTAAGACAGAGCCAGTGTCCGCGGCCGTGGGAGGGGTGCGGGGGGGGGGGGGGGGGGGGTTCACAGGCTGTGGGAGGGGGTATGGGGGGTTCACAGGCCGTGGGAGGGGGCAGGACGGGGTTCACAGGCCGTGGGAGGGGTGCGGGGGTTCACAGGCCGTGGGAAGGGTGCGGGGGGGGGTTCCCAGGCCGTGGGAGGGGGGCAGGACGGGGTTCACAGGCCGTGGAGGGGGGTACGGGGGGTTCACAGGCCGTGGGAGGGGGTGCGGGGGGGGTTTCACAAAAGGCCGGTGGGAAGGGGGGTGCGGGGGGGGGGTTCACAGGCCGGGGAGGGGGGTAACGGGGGGTTCACAGGCCGTGGGGGGGGGGTAGGGTATCGGGGGGTTCACAGGGCCGTGGGAGGGGGTGGGGGGTTTCACAGACCGTGGGAGGGGGTGCGGGGGGGTTCACAGGCCGTGGGAGGGGTGCGGGGGGTTCACAGGCCGTGGGAGGGGGTGCGGGGGGTTCACAGGCCGTAGGAGGGGGTATGGGGGGTTCACAGGCCGTGGGAGGGGGGTGCGGGGGGGTTCACAGGCCGTGGGAGGGGTGCGGGGGGTTCACAGGCCGTGGGAGGGGGGTACGGGGGGTTCACAGGCCGTGGGAGGGGGTGGGGGGTTCACAGACCGTGGGAGGGGTACAGGGGGGTTCACAGGCCGTGGGAGGGGTGCGGGGGGGGGGGTTCACAGGCCGTGGGAGGGGGCAGGACGGGGTTCACAGGCGTGGGAGGGGGTACGGGGGGGTTCACAGGCCGTGGGAGGGGTGCGGGGGGGTTCACAGGCCGTGGGAGGGGTGTGGGGGGGGTTCACAGGCGTAGGAGGGGGCGGGGGGTTCACAGGCCGTGGGAGGGTGCGGGGGGGGGTTCACAGGCCGTGGAGGGGTTGCGGGGGGGGTTCACAGGCCGTGGGAGGGGGCGGGGGGGGTTCACAGGCCGTGGAGGGGTGCGGGGGGTGGTTCACAGGCCGTGGGAGGGGGCGGGGGGTTCACAGGCCGTGGGAGGGGTGCGGGGGGGTTCACAGACCGTGGGAGGGGTGCGGGGGGTTCACAGGCGTGGGAGGGGTGCGGGGGGTTCACAGGCCGTAGGAGGGGGTATGGGGGGTTACAGCCGTGGGAGGGGGTGCGGGGGGTTCACAGGCCGTGGGAGGGTGGTGCGGGGGGTTCACAGGCCGTGGGAGGGGTGCGGGGGGTTTCACAGGCCGTAGGAGGGTGTATGGGGGGTTCACAGGCCGTGGGAGGGGTGCGGGGGTTCAACAGGCCGTGGGAGGGTGCGGGGGGTTTCACAGGCCGTAGGAGGGGGTATGGGGGGTTCACAGGCCGTGGGAGGGGGTGCGGGGGGTTCACAGGCCGTGGGAGGGGTGCGGGGGGTTCACAGGCCGTAGGAGGGGGTATGGGGGTTCACAGGCCGTGGGAGGGGTGCGGGGGTTCACAGGCCGTGGGAGGGGTAAGGGGGGTTCACAGGCCGTGGGAGGGGGTGGGGGGGTTCACAGGCCGTGGATGGGTACAGGGGGGTTCACAGGCCGTGGGGAGGGGTGCGGGGGGGGGGTTCACAGGCCGTGGGAGGGGGCCAGGGACGGGGTTCACAGGCGTGGGAGGGGGTACGGGGGGTTCACAGGCCGTGGGAGGGGTGCGGGGGGGGTTCACAGGCCGTGGGAGGGGTGCGGGGGGTTCACAGGCCGTGGGAGGGGTGCGGGGGGGTTCACAGGCCGTAGGAGGGGGCGGGGGGTTCACAGGCCGTGGGAGGGGTGCGGGGGGGGGTTCACAGGCCGTGGGAGGGGTGCGGGGGGGGGTTCACAGGCCGTGGGAGGGGGCGGGGGGTTCACAGGCCGTGGAGGGGTGGGCGGGGGGTGGTTCACAGGCGTGGGAGGGGGCGGGGGGTTCACAGGCACGTGGGAGGGGTGGGGGGGGGGGGTTCACAGACCGTGGGAGGGGGTGCGGGGGGTTCACAGGCCGTGGGAGGGGTGCGGGGGGTTCACAGGCCGTGGGAGGGGTGCGGGGGGGAGGGGGTTCACAGGCCGTGGGAGGGGGTGCGGGGGGGGTTTCACAGGCCGTGGGAGGGGTGGCGGGGGGGGGCACAGGCCGTGGGAGGGGGTGGGGGGTTCACAGGCCGTGGGAGGGGGCAGGACGGGGTTCACAGGCCGTGGGAGGGGGTACGGGGGGTTCACAGGCCGTGGGAGGGGTGCGGGGGGGAGGGGGTTCACAGGCCGTGGGAGGGGGTGGGGGGTTCACAGGCCGTGGGAGGGGTGCGGGGGGGAGGGGGGTTCACAGGCTGTGGGAGGGGTGCGGGGGGGGGGTTCACAGACCGTGGGAGGGGGTACGGGGGGTTCACAGGCCGTGGGAGGGGGCAGGACGTATCCGACTCTGAGTTCCGCTCTGCCCGTCGTCAGGTCCTTGGACCAAGAAAGAGAGGGGACGGGGCTTAGGCACCCAGCACACGCTGATCTGATCGGTGGTTTCTGTAAGGCCTGGATTAGGGACCTGGGGACGTAGGGGTCGGGGCTTAGGGCATGGCAGGCGCTGATGGGTGGTTGGGTGCTCAGGAGCGTCCGGCGGCGGCAGGAGGGGTTCCCGTCCATCCGCTGGGGGAGGGAGGATCTGTCAGGCCTCCAGGGAAGGCCCGGCCCACGTGAAGAGCAGTCCCTGTGGCCGGCGCCTGAAGCCTGCGAGACCGAATTCCAAACCCCTCCTGAGATGTGGGGCTTTTGGATTCTCTAAAATCTAGATCTAAAGGGCCGTGCACAGGCTGCTGTGAGAGCAGGGGAGTGACGGGAAGAGTGGACCGTTAGGATGGCCCCCAGGGCGCGCCCTCCCTTGTAAAGCTGTGCTCCTTCTGAGTGCGATGGCTGCTGGGGCCCATGGCCAGGTGTGAGTGAACCTTCGCCCTTTCTCGTTGTTTATTGTTTGTCTTGTTTTGTGTGTAACGATTCTGGCTTTCAGATGTGAAGTTCCGTTGTAAATGAGAGAAAATTGGCCCCCAGCGTCTCACAGCAGACTGTTCCCGGGGTGCAGTGAGGAAGGAGGTTATGTAACGGACAGGCGCTCTGGGGCCATGAGTGAAAACAAGGCGACTTTGGCTCTGCCCTCTCAGGCTCCGCTCTGTAAGCGCAGGGAGAGGCGGGCTCTGGCCGGGGCTGGGCCCCCCAGGAGGCTCCGTCCCCGCGGGAACACTGCGGGCGGGCGAGGGCCAGCCGCCTGCACGCCCGGAGAGGGGCTGGGGGTACGGAGCAGGGGCTGCAGGGTGTGCGGGCGGAGCCGGTCCGCCCTGACAAGCTGAGAGCTGCTGACAGGCCTCGCAGAGAGAAACTGCCTACCTCCCGGAGCCGGTCTCTCAGCGGCTCTGGCCCCTCCGGCTGCATCCTCAGTCTCAGCTGCAGCCTCCGTCTGGGTTTGGCCAGTGGCAGGCGGGGGTGAGTTGCAGGGGGAGGAGAGGGAGGCCAGGGAGATTCTCCCCTTGGCCCCAATCCCGGTCTCACCCTCCGCCAGCTTTCTCCAAAGCCGCTGCAGCCGCAGGTGCCTGGGCCCTCAGCTGTCGGATGTCTTCGTTTTTAAATTAAATCTTTATCGTTGGAATTATTAATATGCCCCCCCCCCCAATGACACCTTCTAGCCGCCCCCACCCAGGCCTTCACAACCCTATGGGCTGTGTCTGTGGGCGACGCATGTATGCACACAAGTTCTTTGGTTGATCTCTTCCCACCCACCCTCCCCCGCCTCCCCTTGGAGATTCCAGTCTGTTCCGTGCTTCCATGTCCCTGGATCTATTTTGTTCATCAGTTTATTTTGTTCATTAGAGGCCACACGAGTGAGACCACGTGATACTTAGCTTTCTCTGGCTGACGTGCTTTCCATGGCACTGTCCAGGCCCTCCATGTGCCTCCCAGGGTAAGAGGTCCTCCTTTGTCACACCTGCACAGTGCTCCACGGTGTAGCTGTACCACAGCTGTTTGTCCACTCTCTGCTGACGGGCTGTTTCCACATCTTAGCTAATGCAGATTGTGCTGTTATGAACCTAGAGGCGCATCTGTTCTTTCCATGGGCGCTTCAGGATTCTCAGAATATATTCCCAGAAGTAGGATCACTGGGTCAAATGGCAATTCGATTTTTGAGTTTTTGAGGAAACTCCATACTGTTTTCCACAGAGGCTGCATTCACACAAGTGGTGTACTAGGGTTCCCTTTTCTCCACATCCTCGCCATCATTGGTCATTTGTTGATTTCTTTTCTTTTTTAAATAAATCTTTATTGTTCAGATTATTACAAATGCGATCCTCTTCCCCCCCTCAATTGCTCCCCTCCACCAGGTTCCCAACCCACCCTCTGTCCTTTCCCCATCCCCCATTGTTCTCACCTATAGGTGCACAGTTTATGTTCAGTCTCTTCCCGCATCCTCCCTCTCCCCTTTCGGCTGAGAATCGTCAGTCCACTCCCCTTCCATACCTCTGATTCTATTATATTCAACAGTTAATATTGTTCATCAGATTTTTTAATTTCCTTGGTTTTTAGATTCACTTGTTGATAGTTACATATTTGTTGATCATAATTTTTATCTTCATCTTCTTCCTCTTCCTATATAACCCCCTTCAGCAATTCATATAATTCTGGTTTGGCGGTGATGAACTCCTTTAGCTTTTTGTTATTAGTGAAGCTCTTTATCTGGCCTTCAATTCTGAGTGATAGCTTTGCTGGGTAGAGTATTTTTGGCTGTAGGTTCTTGCTATTCATCCCTTGAATATTTCTTGCCATTCCTGTCTGGCCTGCATGGTTTCTGTTGAGAAATCAGCTGACAATCCTATGGGTGCTCCTTTATAGGTAACTACCTGCTTTGCTCTTGCTGCTTTTAATATTATCTCTTTGTCTTTTGCTCTTGGAATTTTAATTATGATATGTCTTGGTGTGGTCCTCCTTGGATTCCTTTTGTTTGGGGTTCTGTGGGCTTCCTGGACTTGTAAGTCTATTTCTTTCCCCAGGTGGGGGAAGTTTTCTGTCACTATTTCTTCCAGTATTCTTTCGGTATCTTGCTCTCTCTTTTTTTCTGGAATCCCCATAATTCTGATGTTGGTTCGCTTGAAATTGTCCCAGAGGTTTTTTGCACTATCTTCAACTTTCTGGATTCTCTTATCTTCTCCCTTCTGCAGAGGAGTGTCCTCTGGCTCTTTGTGTTCTAAATCTTTGTCTTGATTCTTGCGATCTTCCAGTCTGTTTTTAGGACTTTGTATAATATTTTTTATTTCAGACAATGTTTTCTTCATTTCTAGTTGATCCCTTATTATTTCTAGTTGCTCCCTTTTCATATCCTCATAGGTATCATTTATTTTATCAGCCTTTTTTTAGGATATTGTTGAATAATCTTATAACTGTAGTTTTGAACTCAATGTCCAATCTTTTCTTTTCCTCCATCTCTTTCCTTTATGTCCTTTCTCTTGTCTGCATCTTAGTTGTTTCTCTGATTTGATGGAATAGTTTTGTGTGCTAGGTGTTCTGGTAGAGCCCAGTAGCACAGCCTTCCCAGTTACCTGTGGTGGACAGTCTTGGTGTAGCCCTTTGTGGGCTGTGTGTGCAGTCTTGTTGTTAAGCCTTGCTTATTGTTGGCATCACTGGGAAGCGTTGATCTCCAAGCCAATTGGCTGTGAGGATCAGCAGTGTCTCAGCTAGGAGGGTTTCCGTACTCTGCTTGAATAGGGCGGGGTCTCCGGGTGGCGCAGACAATCTTTGGTTCCCTGTCAGTCTCACCTTAGAAAAGTCCTGTTCGCAGAGAGTTTCGGTAGATTGGTTGCAGGCGCACGCACCTCTTTGGTAAAGGCGCAGACAAGCTTTGTATTCCAGCCAGTCCCTCCTTAGAGAAAGCCAGCCGCTGGGAGAGCTTCTGTGTTCAGCCACAGATGGGGCGGAGTCTCAGGTTGGTGCAGACAAACTTTGTTTTCCCTTCGGCTCCTCCCCAAGTCCCGCAGTAATGGCCTCTGGCTTCACACACCTCCGAGGGATCTCTGCCCACTGCCTGACAGTCTGGCATCTCCCTGTCTGGGGCCGTCTATCAGAGCAATAGGCTGATTCTGTTTTCCTCTCGAACAAGAAAGCCAGGCGCGCGTTAGCTGTCCGCCCTCTCCATGCGCCAGGAGTAAGCCAGTAGCAAACTCAGCCCTGCCTGCCCTCTCTGCACGCCGGGAGTAAGCCAGCGCCTTTTTGCGCACAGTTCTCAGTACCTTCACAGTTCCTGAGGTTCAGCGTGCCTTCTCTCTCCTTCCCAGATGGCAGAGCCTCCTCTCAGCTAGCTGTCCGGCACTTCAGGGCAATGCCTCCCCTATTTTTCAGTTCTAAATTCAAATTTGTTGTGGTAGGCAGCATTTGGGTGTCTACCCTATGCCGCCATCTTGGTCCAAAATCCAGGGCTACCCATTTGTTGATTTCTTGATAGTATCCATTCTGAACAGGAGAGATGATACCTCCTTGTCATTTTAATTTGCATCTCTCTGATGATCAGTGACTTTGAGCATTTTGGCATAAGTCTCTTGGCCATCTGTATGTCCACTTTCGAGAAGTGTCCACTTAGGTCCTTTGCCCATTTTTAAAAAATTGATTTCAGAGAGGAGAGAGAGAGAGAGAGAGAGAGAGAGAGAGAGAGAGAGAGAGAGAGAGAGAGACGACAATGATGAGAGAATCATTGATTGCTCGGCTGCCTCCTGCACACCTGGTACTTGGGATGAAGCCTGCAACCTGGGCATGTACCCAGGACCAGAAACAAACCTGGGACCCTTCATTCTGCAGGCCAACGTTCTATCCACTGAGCCAAACCACGTACAGCTCCTTTGCCCATTTTTAAGTAGGATTATGTATGTTCCTTTTATTAAGTTGTATGAGTTTCTTAAATATTTTGGATATTAACCCTTTATTGGATGTATCATTGGCAAATATGTTCTCCCATACCATGAGCTCCCTTTTCATTTTGTTGCTGGTTTCTTTTGTGTGCAGAAGCCTTTTATTCTGATGTAGTCTCATTTGTTCTCTCCCTAGTTTCCCTTGCCTTAGAAGATAGATCCACAAACATATTGCCACAGGAGATGGCTGAGATTTTGCTGCCTATGGTTTCTTCTAGGATTTTTATGGCTCCACAAGTTACATTTAAGTCTTTTATTCATTTTGACTTTATCTTGTGTGTGGTGTAAACTGATGGCCTAGTTTCATTTTTTTCCATGTAGCTGTCCAATTTTCCCAACATCATTCAGTGAAGAAACTATCTTGACTGCATTGTATGCTCTGGCCTTCTTTGTCAAATATTAATTGAGCGTAATGGCTTGGGTTGATTTCTGGGGTCTCTGTTCTGTTCCATTGATCTATATGGCCGATTTGATTACGATGGCTTTGTAGTATAACTTGATATCTGATATTGTGATTCCTGCAACTCTTTTCTTCTTTCTCAAGATTTTTGCAGCTATTCGGGGTCTTTTTTGGTTCCATATAAATTTTTGGAGAGTTTGTTCTAGATCTGTAAAATATGCCATTGGTATTTTAATAGGGATTGCATTGAATTTGTAGATTGCTTTGAATAGTATGGACATTTTAATGATGTGAGTTCTGCCAGTTCATGAACATGGTATATTCTTCCACTTGTTTATATCTTCCTCTACCTCTTTTTCAACATCTTATAGTTTTCCAAGTACAAGTCTTTTATTATTTTTAAATATATTGAAGGTATATATTTTATTGATTTTTTACAGAGAGGAAGGGAGAGGGATAAAGAGTTAGAAACATCGATCAGCTGCCTCCTGCACACCTGTTCTGGGGATGTGCCCACAACCAAGGTACATGCTCTTCACTGGAATTGAACCTGGGACCTTTCAGTCTGCAGGCCGATGCTCTATCCACTGAG